TAGCACCTGAGAAACATTCATAACAATGAGATTACTCAACAGACTTGAGTCCAGCTCTAATTATTAATTTTCAAACACAAAATTGAAGGAATGTATGTTAGGAAGCAGTATATTACTTGATAACACTTAATCGGATTAATATTCTTACCACAGGAATATAAAAATCTAAGAAGTTAGCAAATACATCCACTTTGAAGAATTAACAAATAAATAACTAATATCTTCAGTTGAAACTGCTCTGTTCAGTATTTCATGATAAAATATGTTAACAAAAAACAACCAACTATCCTTTGAAACAATGTAAAAAACAAGGAATCCCTAAATAATGGAATGTATTAGTTAAGTACGTTTAGAAATATAACAGTGCTTATAAAACTTAAGTACTTTGAAAAATATTATCATTATCCACATGAAATAAATTCATAGTTCTTTTCCTGAAATGACTGTACTTTTGTTCATTCAGAACAATAACTGCTGAGTCACCAAAATATATACACTGCAATGAATATTACAAAAATATAGAATTTGTTTTCAATTTTCCCCCATTCTAACCTTAAACACTTAACACGATACATTATCTATTAATATACAGCAATTTAACTACAAGTAAAATTCTAATAAAAAAAGAATGTCAAAAAAATCCATTTCTGACATAACTTGGGCAATGTCAAAATCAATTTGAACCCCAATTAAATGCAAGTTTTACTGTTTTAAAAAACTAGCTTCAAATCGTTTTGACTACAGTTATCTACATATTACCTGATGAAGGTAATCAAGTGGTGAAAAAAAAAAGATTTGATCAAGTCTAACAAAATATTTGGATGATTCACTTCTATTATATTCAGTTAAGATACTAATTGATAACTATTTAATCTCCCCAAATCTTGAACATGAACCAGAATATGAAATTAGAATAAAACTGGAATTTTAAAGTTTTAGGAATCTTTTATGATTAGAGAACTACCTGAAATTGTCTTTGTCTTTTGATGAATTTACACTAAAAACTAATAATCAAGAAACTTCTCATTACCACTACTGATGGTCACTTGAATAAATTTGTGAGAAGCCGTGATCCTTACATCATCAATATTGTTTTAGTTGTATTAAAAGTTATGATCCTTACATCATCAATATTGTTTTAGTTGTATCAAAAGCTATGATCCTTACATCATCAATATTGTTTTAGTCGTATTAAAAGTTATGATCCTTACATCATCAATATTGTTTTAGTTGTATTAAAAGCTATGATCCTTACATCATCAATATTGTTTTAGTTGTATTAAAAGCTATGATCCTTACATCATCAATATTGTTTTAGTTGTATCAAAAGCTATGATCCTTACATCATCAATATTGTTTTAGTTGTATTAAAAGTTATGATCCTTACAGCATCAATCTTGTATTCGTTGTCTTTTTATGTCCTGGAATGTACTGAATTAATATACCATTTGGAAAAACAAAAAACTGTTGGACAAAATAATCTCTGGATTCCAAATGTTTGAGATCTTCTAGAATTAAAGATGGTTCTTTTGATTATAGAACCTTGTTTAACTTCTATGTATAAATAAAAATAATAAAACAGCAAATTCATTTGAGTATATTTAAACATTATAATAAAAACTGTGGAGGTCCAACATACCTGTGGTGATGCTTACATACAGAACATGTATCCCACTACAGTATAACATTACATTACTGAAAGGGTTAATACTCTCATGAAAATACATTAACTCATTCTTTGTATCATCCTTTTATAGAAGAAATATTTCTCTTAAAAATACTTTTAAAATAAAAAACTGAAGTTTGATCAATTTTATGTAAATCACAGTAATGGAATGTTAAGATCCTGGCCATATTTAATATATAATACACTTCCAAGGAAATGTAAGATTTTTCAGCATAAATTGATTTTAAATTCACAGATTTCTTAAACAGAACAAACTCAATCTTAAACAATTACATTCTAGACTATAATTACATACTCAAACATTTGATAGTATTTTCAAGGTTTCAATCAACTCAAGCTAATAAAAATTCAAATGTTGACTTTTATAAGTTTTAACATAGACAACAGCGTGATTAATCTATTTCACAAAATGTATACAAAATAATAAACTTTATTAAACTCAGAAGCAATATAAATTTGTTGAAACACAACAGCAGTCACTTTATGGCTTATATAATGTTGTCAGGAGTGAGAAAGTGTTGTGTATTTGTTAGCCATAAATCTGACCAAGTATGCATATAAAATTACGTACCTGAGTTATTAGGATAAACAATAAATCTGATATATGTATATTTATATAAATAGCTACAAGCCATAGTAGAAACACTAACAATTTTCCAGACAATAATTCTGTTCATTGTATAGCATGATCTCCGATACTTTACCATGATTAGTATAAGGCATGCCAGTGATCATGTTGCTTAGACTTCTCAAGAATCAGCATTTAGTGAGTTAGCTGTTCAAGTCATACTTCTAAGCTTTTGTGCAATTGTTACTTGTAAAAACAAATTAGTTTAGGTCTAAGAAAAACCCTCACTACTATAATACATTGAAGTATCACAGTAAAACAAGATATGGTTATTGGTACACAAAAGTTCAAACTGTAAGTAAGGGCTTTTATTTGCTAAACAGCAAATCACTTTCATTAAAAGTTTACATAAATCTGTTCTCAAAAGACTGCTGTGCTAGGTAACATCTATAGGTGTAGTGCTCACTGGAGCACTCCAGAACTATGCTTCAGCATTTGAGATTCAGAAATAGATATTAGGTTTTCAATATGAGTTGTATAATCCAATGATGACATCACTTGTGTGACAGATATTCTGGCATGGCTTCAGCACTATAAAATTTAGAACTAAACCACTGGTAGCACCAAACATATGTTAAGGTTCAACAATCTAGAACACTTTACAGTAAACCTTGAGTGCGTCACTTGTCAGCAACACCAAAAATACCATATGAAAAAGGCTGTGAGCATTATGTTACAACTGTTTTCAAAATATCTTTTAAGTATAATTTGTTTTTCTTTCAACAACATAGCAGCATAGGGAAATTTGCTAAGAGAAAAAAAGACCTGTTGTCAATAATTTAAAATAAAAGTATTTTGTCACTCCTTTTGCCACTTCCTACTGAGAATCAAATACAAGCTACCATAAATTTTTGTTCCACTAGAATATCAAATAGTGAATAAATTAGAAGTGACTAATCTCTTGTACCAAAGACATGCACTCACTAAATGGAACTTTAGCCAATGAGAAAAAGAGTACACAATAACACTAATAACTCATTTCATTAAGCTAACATAGCGAAGAAACTTAATGACCTTTGTAAAATTCTTCTTCTTAATAAGTTGGTAAAAACAATTAGAATATTTGAGGCTATGCAATATTCAATGGAATTATACTGAAGCTTTGTAAAGATTAATATATGTATACATACAAATGAAATTATTAAATATAGAAAAGTATAGATACATACATATATTTGGGTACTTCTAACATTTGATAACAATAAGAAAAATAAATTTCTTTCTTAAAGCTACTGTAATATAAAAAACATCAGCATATCAAACAGATAATGCTTAAAAAAAGTATTACAATTTTTTCAGAATCAAATATTAGTTATCAATTTAAATTTAATCTTCAGCATCAAGATTATCAATGTCTGCAGGACCAATGTCTTCAACATCTAGCTCATTTTCAAACATTCTCTGAAGCAAGTTTTCCACATTTTTATCTGTTGAAAACAAATAGTAAATGTAACTGTATAACAAAGGAAATTAATTTCAATACAAAAATTAAAAACATTTAAATTAATTTAAAGATCTCATTACATTAGCATTGAATAGCATTAAAAATACTTATCATTAAAAGAATACTCAATTAAATGTAAAAATAGACTACCTTATCTTCTCCAAGTCATTACTTCCTAAAGAGGTGGCTAAGATATAATAAATAAACTTAGTATTCTGAACATTTTTTAATCTTGAAGTCTAAGTTCAAGGGAGGTGTAACTCAATCTACAGTGTAGGAATTATTATTCAATTTATTTTGTGAATTAACATTTAATGACTGTTGAGTTTTTCATAACAAGAGAGTAAAATGCAATTATTTTAAAGGCAATAGTTATGACAAGTTTGGTTATGTAACTCGGTAAGAGTCGTACATTGTGTTGGCAATTCATTGGTGTTAAGGCTATAGAAAGCCCAAGAGGCCTCAGTGAAAAACATAAGCAGTGGTGACAAAATGAGTGGGAGCAGAATAAAAAGTCAAGTCAAGTGAAAGTGAAGTTCAGTCTGACAAAAAATGTGAAGTTAGCCATTGTGGGAGTGAATAGCCTTAACAGTTAATATGTTAAAGTGAGATTAACAGTTTGATAGAGATAAGAAAAAGAATTTGTCTTGTCAAACTAACTGAACCCACCTGTGTGAACTTTGATGGAAAGAAGACAATTATTGGAAGTTCAGGATATAACTGTGGTAACCCACAAAGCAACGTAAGTGAATTATTGACTAATACCATTATGATAAAAGTAGAGAAAAATAGTTTGGCTTGTCAACTGGATTCTAAAGCAATTGAACTAGCCTAAGTGGACGTTTGACAAGAAGAAAACTGTATAGTGTTTAAGATACAACTGTGATCTCCATAGTGAAAAGACATTTTGTACATATGTTTATTTTGTTTGAATATATCATTTTAAAACAAGTGGAGCACGTGCTGTCCATTTATTGTTCGAATTTACCCTTAGAAGAATCCTTAACTAGTGATGAAAGTTTTCCGGATATATCCGGAAATCCGGATATTTAAAAAAAATCTTGAAAACCTCTGGTTTTCTTCCTGAGAAACACATTTTTTAAAATTATTTATCGGATTTTGGTGTTCCATGCCATAGATAAGCGTTTATGCAATCGCGCGGTTTGTTTACATTCAGCGACAGGGCGCCACCATTTTGTAGTCTCGCAATGCTTGCTGGCATGTATGAGACCTTGTATGCTTATAATGCAAAGTTCATGTCATGTGAACGAGATGTTATCTCGAAAACGTGCGTTAGAAAAAGCGGTCATTCTTTTGTGTGCTTTCTATTGAGTGAGACAATTGAAGAGCCTTATCTATTCAAAGGTGTTTACCGAAGCGATAATAGATCAAATGAAATGTACAAACAAGTATACAGGTCGGCGGATATCCGTAGCATAGCAGGAAAGGTAAAGAACAAGTTCAAATGGTCATGGCTGGAGGAAAAGGATGTAAATGGTGTACTTTTTATCGGACTTTGTGAGGAAAGTGGACAGGCCAGGATATGCA